TAGGCGAATCTCTCTCAGTGTTCGGCTTGCGAAAAATAGGGAAGTAAAAAGGAGGAACCGTGTGTGCGAGCAGGCGAGGGAGAGGAGAGCGGCGGCGGGGGCCGCGCGCTCCCCCTTTTTCTTCTCTCTCTCTCACTCGAGGCCTCTCGTCCCTTGGAAGCCCGTTACCGGGAGGGCCGACCTTCGGGAATAAATCAAATTTGAAGGGAGGAAAGGATAGAGTGGCCTTTTTCCCCCCTTGTTCCCGGTTCGATTCCCGTCGCTGACAGCGAGTACGGCAAGAAAGATCACTGCCTGTGGTTCCTGTGCTCATCTCTTACGAAGCCTAATCGTGCGAACTGGCCAAGAATGTTCCTAGCGGACCCAATGCATCAGGCCCTGTCAAGCCAAGAGACCTTGCTTGGCCAACATGACCAACTCGTCCAGGCTCTGGTGGAGAGCAACCAGTCTGCATCTGACCATATCTCTGAGTTGTCTCATCAGGTCTCCACGCTTGCCTCCTCAGTTCAAGACTCCAGGCTCCCCTCACCGGCCGAAGTGACACCTGCCTCAACAGCCTGCTGGGACATTCATGTGAGTGATCCAGACCTCTTCTCTGGGGACTTGGAAAAATGTCAAGGCGTCTTACTCCAATGTGGACTAGTTTTCCAGCAGCGCCGTCTGTGCTACTCAACCGACTCTGCAAAGATCAACGATGTCATTGGGCTTTTTCAGGGCAGGGCGCTCGCATAGGCAGAAGCCATGAGCACTGACAGTGAGTTCAAGATGACCTATTCTGACTTTGTTGCTAGACTCAAGACTGTGTTTGACCACCCCAACTCTGCTGTGGACACCTCTAATCGACTCCTGAAGCTGCGGCAAGGTAACCGCTCTGTGGCAGACTTCTCTGTGGATTTTTGGACCCTGGCAGCACAGGCTCAGTGGAATGACGCTGCCCTACAGGCGGCTTTCACCAAAGGTCTAAGCGAGAGGTTAAAGAACGAGTTGGCGACTAGAGATGTGCCTTCCAACTTGCCCGCGTTAGTTGCTCTTTCCATCAGGATAGACAAGAAGTTGCGTGGGAGGCAAAGACAAAGGACATTTCGGGTCCAACAGTCCACGAAGCAGTCAAGTCAGCTCCCGGTCGGCCCTGCGGAGGAAGAGAGCCCATGCAACACTTGCGTCGCCGGGACCAGGGACGGGTGGCAATGGGACCGGGTCTTTGGTCCTGCGAGGTCCAGTCTTGGATGGATCATTCTGTCAAGTTTTGCGAGGACCCCAAAAAAGCAGGGAGGCGGGGAGGAGTATGGTGGACTGACCAGGTTGTATTTATCAAAAGTACAAACAGGAGTACACAGGAAAAACCTCGAATACTCTAACCAAGTCCTGAAAATAACATGAAACCAAAGTAGCAAAAAACCTATGACAGAAAACAAAACGTGACAGGGGCACACAGACGCTCACATACTCACACTCACAATTGTCCATCCAAGACGACAAAACCCAGGCAACTAATAACAAGCAAAGTGACGAGACAACGAGAAACAAATGGACAAGACACAAAGGGTTGAGGTAGCTGATTAGTTAAACACAAGGGACGCTGATGACGACACAACAGGTGGTGACAAAATGGGAACAAAACCAAATGTTATCTAAAAATACATAACATTTGGAACAAGAACAGATTTCAGATTTTCACAAATAAACAGGCATGGCGCTCGGCCTATGCTGATCACGCACTTGAGCGTAGGGCACAAACTGCCTCAGTGGGGTTGGGGGGGCACCAAAAAAAAATCAAGCTTGTAAAAAAAAAAATCATAATCATAGGAATTATAATAATAACAGTATATAATATTTATAATAAAGTTTTGTCAAGTATGTTAATAAATATATGTAAAAAATAACAGGCTTATTTAGGCAAAACAAGATTAATCTCCTGTGTGATCTCTCGTTGGTCTACCTTTTGTGCCCTGCCAGCCCTGCCTCACTGCGGTCAAGGCAGCCTCCACTCGCAAAATTGAAGTCAAGTGAGCCGCCACTCTGATTGTGAATACTGTGTATTACGGTAATCTGCCGCCAGCGAGCGGCGTTGGCCTCCTTCAAAAGAAAAGCACCTCAACTAATGTATGCATGTCTGTTGTTTGGATTTAAAAAATAATAAAAATATAAAATAAGTAATTTCTTGGCTGTCGGGTAGCGGTAAGTTCACCCAGGGAGAATAAAAACTCTCAAAATAGTGCCAAGTAGCATTCTCAAGTTGAGATAATATGAATAATAATTCTACATCAATTTCACTTGATATTTAAAAAAAAAAAAAAAATCATGAAAAAATGAATCTTAGTTATCCCGCAACCACACCAGGTTTTCGATGCACTAAGGGCACCCCAGGTATCCAACCACAGTACTGGCATTCAGATCTGATGTTCCATTTCAAAATAAAAGGCCCACGAAATATGACATTTTGACCTTCTCGCCTTACTTAAAAAAAGAAATAACCAATGAATTTTAGTTATCCCTCAATCAGACGAGGTCTAGGGGACACAAGGGTACCCCAGGTACCCAACAAGACTACTCTTATTCAGATCTCATTTCAAACCAGTTATTATTGGAAAACATGTCAACTGACAACATGTTTCTTTCTTTCGAGTTCAAAGAATGCCACATAGAGTTGGGAGGGGTGCCATATTTACAGCGGCACAAGAAACCCTCATTGTGGATATCGTGAGAACAACCTCATCAGACTCCGGGAGATCAGAGACAAAGTCTTTGCTGATAATGTTAACTTTGAGAGCATTGACGATGTCAGCTTGGCCACAATAGACTGAGTTCTCTGGCATCAAATATGTGGATGAAACAGGTCTATAGCGTTCCCTTTGTGCGCAAATCTGCGTGACACAAAGACCAACAATATGAGTATGTGCAAGTAAGTACACATTCATGTTCACAGTATAGTTAGTGGACATAATGCGTTGCTCAGTGGCCTCCGTTGCTTCTGGACAGTACTGTGCGACCTGATTGACTGTTGTTCTGAACACCTGTGCACTTTCACATTTTCACAGAGGATATTACAGTTGGGTGCGATGACCTCACGAGTACCTCTTCCTGGATGAGCCTGGTTTCAACTTGGAAAAATGAGGGCAAAGAGCCCGTAACATCATTGGCCAAAGAGCCATCACTGAGGTTCCTGGACAACGGGGGGGTGGGGGGGAGTGATATTACTCTTTGTGCCGCTATAGGTTCGGAGGGGCTTGTCCACCAGCATGCTGTCCTTGGGTCTTACAACACCCAACGTCTCCTCACCTTCCTAGGGGAGCTAAGAGACATCCTCCTGGGACCGCACATTGCATTCATGTGATCATTTGGGGGTGGCCAACCGGTCAGAGACTAAGAGCCAATTTTTTTACTGTGTTACTGCAAAGAGCTACACACACACACACACACACACACACACACACACACACACACACACACACACACACACACACACACGACCATGCACTCGCGCACATATGCTTGCACGCCACAATGAGCAACAGCCTGAGCGCCCGAAAATAAATGAAACCTACAGACACAAACACACAAATATTTTTTTCCCCCCCATTTCCTCCTCCCACCGCTCGCGTTCGACGTGGGAACAGTCTGCTGGCTCTTGGTCGATTGTGATCGATGTATTGGGCACCCCTGCCTTAAAAACAGGTAATTTGCTGACGAGCTTAGCACATAGCACTTAGTGCCGTTGTCTGCGCATGAGCGGTGATTCAGTCGTCTGATTGGTTTCTCTCAATGTCAATCAAGTAACGGGATTGGTTATAGGCTGATGTAGTACGTTCTATGTATTCGGCACCGTTGTTTTAATGGCAGCACCGTCGCCGAGGCATTTTCGACAATTGTCATGAGAAAGCCCGGGAGCCGCATTGAACCAACCAAAGAGCCGCATGCGGCTCGCGAGCCGCGGGTTGGTCACCCCTGATTTGGGACAATGTCCGCTTCCACAGAACAGACCAAAGCATAGAGTGGTTCGCCGCCAACAGTAACCTGTTTTTAAACGTTTGTCTGCCCCCCTACTGCCCTTTCCTGAACCCTATCGAAAAATTCTTCTCATTGAGGAGATTGAAGGCTTATGACAGACAACCCTACACTAGAGAGAACCTTCTCAGGGCAATGGATCGGACCTGTGTATACATCCCAGTGAAGGCCTTCCAAGGAGGAATTTGTCAGTCCAGGGCGATGTGGATGAGGTGATGTGGCCCGATGCCGCACAGTGATTGTGATGTGAATAAAGTCAATTAAAAAAAAAAAACTTTACACCCTGAACATGTTTTCAAGAGTACTGTTGTGTGCAATAGATTCTGTTTTTGCATGGAGTTGTGTTGCAGTAGTGTACATGCAGTATTTTCTATAGATTTACACTCTTCATATGAAACTCTCAAATCTAAATACCTAATCCTCTGCAGAAATCTAAGAAGAGCCGTAACTGTATAGTTTCTAAAAATATGCATTGGCAGTTATGAAGCAAAGAACCTTCTCACAAATTGAGCATTATGTTTTAAATTGTTTTGCTGTAGCGTGTAATGATGTGTATCATGTTTACATTTTTAAATGCTTCAAGCTGCTCTTTTGGTGTAAAGGTTTGAGTTTTGAAGTGAGAAGATGTGGTTGTGTTTACTTAACTTTAGAAAAGGGAGTTGTGTTTCGACATTCGGGAACATTCAGGTAATATTTGTGAAATATGTTGGAGCATTTGAGAAAAACGGTAATGGTAGAGTGGTACACAGCCTGACTTCTGTGTCAATGGAAGTGTGAATGGTCCTTTATCTTATGTTCCCTGAGATTGGCATGGATAGATGGATTGATTCTCCTTATTAGAGGGAATATTATTTTACATAACATGGCCTAGAAAGCTGTCATGTAGCAAGTTTCCTTGTGTGTGTGTGTGTGTGTGTGTGTGTGTGTGTGTGTGTGTGTGTGTGTGTGTGTGTGTGTGCGTGCGTGCGTGTGTGTGTGGCACATCCATCCAGTACCTTGTAGTTCTGGCTTGTGATTGGACAGGATCTGGTAGAAGATGTGGTAACCTCTCTCTCCTGGCTGCTGAAACACCACTCTGGACTTCTCCAGAAGGTCTGATGAAGATTCAAAATGATTCAGAAGTCATAATATATAATTCTGCTTCATATCTGCTTTGAAGCATAACATTTTGAAATTAAAAAGTCTAATACTCAGTTTTAACAAATCAGAAATAAGAAATATATGTCCTAGTCACGTAAGAATATAAGAGTGTTTCAAAGAGCCACAAACTGAACTTACAAATATCAATGTCAGCCGACGCCAACTTTCCTGTCGGCCCAAAGTGAATTCTGATGAATTTTCCCTGTGGAAACCGGACAATGCAGATGAATTACAATAAACAAACCAAAAGTTCTTCAATAGCTTGATTTCTTCACACAATAACACACTCGGAAACCTAGATTGGCCAATCACAGAGCAGCAGAGGTCCCACACTTTCCTTCAAGGACACAAATTTAGATTTTCAATTTATTTTTGGTCACTGATGCTGTTGTGGTACACACGCCAGACTTGTGTGTGAGCAGCATGCGACCAGTTCCTCAGTGACAGTATGAATGTTTTTCTGTCTTTGTATGTGCCCTGCGACTTGACTGGCGACCAGTTCATCGTGGAGTCTGCATTCCGCGCGAAGACAGCTGGGATAGACTCCAGCAACTCCCTGTGACCTTGTTCAGGATAAGCGGTGTTGACAATGGATGGATGGTTATGGTTTTGCTCTTTCAAGGGTAATTATGGTTGAAAAAACATTCCAGTTGTCTGCATTGTTTTTTGCAAACGTGTCGTTTCGTGGTGTGCCCTGGGGTGGAGTGGGTGAAAGAGACAGATGTTTTATTTGGAGCAAGTTGATTGAGACAAATAGAGAGGATACAGCTGTCATGTGAACCCAGTTAATCAGTTCTTGGTTCTTCAGGAAAGGTGGATGTTGAGATGGAGTTAAATATTTGGGTGGAGAGTGTACAGGATAAGAGATCTGTGACATTGGAAGGATGAAAAGAGCTTTTTTTTCTGTCATGAAGACGGCAGCGAGAAGTTCTTTTGTTCATTTTCAAACTGTTTGGGCAACGTGAGTCATGATTTAAAAAAAAAGAGGTCCCTCTTAGCCAATGGGATGCCAGGATGATGCTCGGTAGTAGCCAATGACAGAGCAGCATAAGTGTGGTGTGTTCAGGAAACTCGGAGCTGCGAGTAGCAGCCCATACTGTATTTTTACCTTTCGTAACTTGAAATTTATTTCGTATCTTGAGGCAATATTTTCCTGTTAAGGCGTTTCATAAATTGAAAATTTTGTCATGGTTCTGTTTGCGTAAAAGGACTCCTGGCACGACCACACGGCGTCGGATCATAGTTCTGTCATGTTTGTTTCTGTCATGCTTCAGTCAGTGTTGTGTCCAAGGACCGGCAACCCGAGGCCAAGGCCAAGGCCAAGGACTTGCCTCCGAGGCCAAGGCCAAGGCCAAGGCCAAGAACTTGGAAAATTTTCCAAGGCAAGGCCGAGGCCAAGGACTTGAGAAATTTTCCGAGGCCAAGGCCAAGGACCAAGGACTTGCTTCCGAGGCCAAGGCCAAGGCCCAAGGACTGATTTTGAAATT